ACAAATCACTTCCAAAGGATCTGGATATTACTTGGCTCACTGACAAGGGGAACCCAAGACTTTAAAGCAGACCTGTGAGCTGCTTCAACTGACAGTGCAGAGCAGCCCAAATGACGTCTCTTTAACCCTTCATAACACAGTGATTTTTGAGGAGTTTGCCCAAATTTCTACCACATAAGGCCAAGAGTTTACATTAACCGGAGAGGTCAGAAAACAGGCTTGTACTTATTCTGAAGTATTTTATTTATTACGATATTTTTTTTAAAATGTGCACAAGTTCATAGTAGAAGTACTGGGTCCCCAGCATCTGCTGGTAAAATTCTTTCAATGGACAGCCTGAGCCTTGAAGAAAAAGAGGGACCAGAAAAAAGCAGCTTTGAATATCATATAAGCAACACCACCACCACAAGGAGTTAACAATACTGAAACTTCTTTAATGAAAACATGAAATACTATCTTACATACTATTAAAGGAACTGGATATTGTTTTTTAAATAAACAACCTACTGCTCAATACTAACTTATATAATCCTATAGAAGCTAATCTTCAGTTTTAAACAAACAAGCTAATGTTCAATATTAAGATAAAGAATCCTAGGGGAACTAAATAAATATGCCACAGCTCATAGATGTGTCCTGGCCAAAGCAGACGACTGGTTACAGGACTCCTCTTGCTGTTTGTCAAATTCTTGGATTAGTCTCTTAATGTGAGACAGCTTGTTGTGTAGGTACTGACATTTCTTCTTCAATTCAGAGTAGGTGGGGCTAAACTATAAAGGAAAGACAAAAAGAAAATTAGGGCATGCAAACATTTCTGGAGAGTTTAGAATTTCATCTCTTTGGCTTTACAATAGCCTTGAGCCAGACTCAGTGGTTTCCACGTCCCACAGATCTGGTGTTACACATACCTGTTGTATCTTCTGATGCTCTGTCAGGACTTGACAACAAAGCATCTACAAGAGAAAAAACCCATGAAAACAATATGAAGAACATTTCACTACTACCAGAAAATACAAACATGAAACACTAAAAATACACTTGGTTTGACTTGAAGAGATTTTCTTCTCTGTGAGCCACCACTCCTGTAGGAGCTTTGCAAAAATAAATCCAACCCCCTCTATCACCTAGGATCTGCAATTAAACCTGTCAGTAGGCAATAAAAGGACCATGTGCTCAAAGACTCCTTTTGGGACATCACTCACACTGCTGTGCATTCACAGAGAGCTCAAACAGGGCATTTTTGGCAGGGTTTTGCAAATATGAGACCCAGCCCAAGCAGGGTCTGAGCATATCTTCCAATTCCACAAGGTTTCCCTTTGTCTCACTGAGCAGTACCAGGGAAACTAAAATACTCCTTCTGCTCACAAATACATTTGCAATCTGGCCGAAACCAAAATAAATGCCATCCAAAAAGCCTCAGCCTGCACACAGAACTAAAGAATTCTGATACTGAAGACATGGACTGTGTTTTCAAATCAGAGAAGCCAAGGCTGGATGGACAGAACATCAGGTTTTGAACAGCCCTCTCTGCTAAAATTGCAGCTGGGATCAGCCACCTGGAAGATGAGTAAATTTTTGCTGTAGGTTTAGTTATGTGTTAAAAGTCATGGGAAAGAGAGGGTCAGGAAACCTTTTGGGATTATGGCCACTGGTTTCCAGGCATTTCCAGTCTTCTCTCCCATCTGTGTATCAGCACCCCCTCAGCTCACCAGGATATTCTTCACAGTTTTATCCTTCTTTACCTGATGTTCTGTGGACCCCTGAGTCACAAACTTCTGTTGTTCATTAAACTTCCCGAATTTCTTGGCAATGTTGTCTGTCTGAGCCAACAAATTCTGGTATTCGCCATACTCTGCATTGAAGTCATCCTTGTAGCTCTGGCGTTGTTCACAGGACACTATAGCTGTGTATTTTCTAATGGAAGATGGAAAACATTTTGCTATTAATATGTTCTAAGGGAACATTCTAATTCATTTCCATTCTATAAAGCACATCTGCAATTTTACACCAAGCACATGGTGAATGTCAAGCCCAGACACCCAATCTCAAGTGAATTCACTCCATGGTTTCCTGCTTCTACAGGCAAGCACATGTGCTTCAAGAGAATGTAGTCAGGTAACTCTAGAAATGGGCCACAGAAAACAACTTCTCCCAGTGATGCATCCCAGGCCAGATGCACCCAATTAGCATGCTGGATGATATTTGAAAAAAAAACTACAGATGTTCTTCAACATTTTGGGAGGTACCTGTGAAGCAATAACCTGGACTTCTGGCTTATGCACAGTGACATCCCCTAGCAAGAGCCCAGCATAGCACCCACAGTGCAAGAGTGTAGAGAGGGAAGAAAAGAGAGGCGAAATGGGAAGAAACATGAACCTGTTTTGTTTTTCTGGCTTTTGAATACACTTTGCTTAAAAAGCCTGAGTCCCTTTACACTCATACTATCTATATTAAGATTGAAATTATCTTTATGCTAAAGCTGTGATCATACTCATGAATTACGTAGCACTAAGAATCAGGAAGAGAAGCTGGAATAAACTACCAAAGTGCTTTGAGCTGGATCATGTTGCAGGTGCTCTCAGTTTTCAAACTTTCTCTATAGGTGTTATGGGGTAAAAACAGTGTTTTCCCCTGGAGTTAGAAAAGTGGTAACCCCCGAGGGGGTGGTGTTCTTGGTGTAGGGCCCAATCAGAAGCTACATTTTGCTCCTCTGAAATCAACATATTATAACAGACCGGAAAAGAGGGGAGATGATGTAGCTGGAGAGAAGTAGCCATGTTGTGAAGCCACGAGGAGCTGAGGGGCCAGAGATCCCTGCTGGGGGCTGCGGAAGCCCAGAACAGTGTTAAAACTGGATCAGGTGCCATAGTCAAAGGCTGGGGGAGTTTCGCCACTGCGAGTGGGCAGCAGAAGACACTGAAAACGGCGGAGGAGCAGCACTGAACAGAGAACTGTGGCCGAGAGCCAAAAGAGATAACAAGCAGCAGAGATGGCACATAGCCAGCTGAGAGACACAGAGATGTTCTGCAGGAGGGAGAGCTGGCAACAAAGCAGAGAAAACTCAGCAGAGACTGTTTTTGGGGTAAGACTGAATTACTTTCCCAAAAACCCTTGGAAACCCCTCTTAAAAGGAGGGGGTGGACTTCCATTTGAAGGGAGTTCTGAAATGCAGCAGCACTGGAGAGAGGAGCTGAGAAGCTCAAAGACATCCTGGAAGCTGGACCGGGAGGGCCGGACAGAATGTGGGGGAAGTGGCCTTGCCCCGCCCCTGCTGCCACGCTGGCAGTTTGAGACAGAGCAAAGGAGCTGTAGGACGCTTGGGGCAAAGACTGAACTGAGAGCTGTCCTGAACGTTCTGACTCGAGGGAACTCGACCCGTCGAGGAAGGGACTTTCATGGGATGTCTTGCACTCTGTGATATGACCGTGGTGAAGCGAGTTTTGTCCCTGCTGGCAGTCCACGGGCAAGACCTTCGGTTGGAGCCGAAGGGCTGAGAGGGGTGAGAGGAGACCCCTTTGTGTGTAATAGGGAGAGAGAGAGATTCCAGCTACAACAACTCCAGCTACGACTGCTGCTTTGAAGAGGAGAGACACTGCTGCCCTGAAAGGGGAAAGGATCTTTCCTTCTTCCCTTCTGAACTTTCATTGGAGGGAAAGGAGGGATTTGACCTAATGTAAATATTGCTTTACCATAGGAGAGAGAGTTAAAATTGTGTATATAATGTATTATAGTATTTATTTGTGTAATAATTGTAATATAATTCCCTTCCCCCCATACTGAGTCTTGTGTTATGTCTGAAAAACCCTCTCACACTGAACCAAATTGTGGGAGGGGGGCTTGGACTTGGAAATTGGATTTTTGGGGGTCTCAAACTATGATAATGGGTCAGGCAGATGGCTGATACAGCACAACCTAATTTTTCCCATGTCACTGTGACCAGGAGATTATCTGTGAGATTGTTCCAGACATGGCTCCTTTCACAGGCAAATTTCATTTAAGTTTTTAATCCCAATCAGAACTAAGCCAACTTCATGAAATCTTGCATGAAGGTTTTTTTTCTTTAGGTTTTGATCTCAGCTTCCTACTTCAATATTCAGTTACAAAAAGTAACCATCTATCGTGCTCCTCATTATCACGGCTCCCAGCTGACTGGGAAACAGACAGCAAAGAGCCGAATCTGCTCATTTTCACCTAGCAGAGTCTGGGAATTGAAAGTGCATTGAAGTCCTCAGCCTAACATGGGAAGCACGAAACTGCTTCCCTGTAGGGCCAGGCTTTCCCTCAGTCTTTCCATGGAGCATCCCTGACTGTATCATATGGGATCCAGGCGCTGCCATGCCACCAACTTGAAGGCAGATGGAAGATGCACCAAAGCTGCAGAACTGCAGGAGGCCTGAGTGCTCTTGCCAGTGTCCCTGCTCTCACAGAACCAATTGGCAGTGTTTGACCAGACAGACACACTTTCCCCTCCCCTACCACACTGCAGATCCAACACGGGGACACAACACCACTGCTGCAGCTGACGCTGCGCGACTGCACTGCCAGCAAGTGTCAGGCTCATCCTGCCCTTCTCCATCACAGTATTCGTTTTGGCTCTGAGCACTGAGGGCCCATCAAAACCTTCTCAAACTCATCTTTCCAAAAGAGGAAGGAACTTAAGACTGCTCCCCACTGAGTACCAAGGGAGATAACTACTCACAAGAAGTAGTCTGGTTGTTCCCTTGATGACACAGGGTCTGCAGAGGCAGTGAAAGTTTCTTTAACCCCTACGGAAAAGCAGAATTTTGACACCTGAGATAAACAGATTTTTTCTATAGACAAGCAAACCAACTGGATGGGCTTAAAACTGTCCTTGACCTGACTCACCATGCACTGGAGTTTCAAAAGGAGTCTGAGGCATATCCTTTTGTTGCACCTCAGAAGTGCAGAGGAAAATGGAGCTGACAGTTTCAGATGTGTTAGAAGTTGGAAGGACTGTGGGAGGCAGTGTTGAGGAAGCAGGACTGAGGCCACCGGCTGCTGGCTGGACTCGACTGGCCAGGCGACCAATCCTCTGCTTTTTGCTCACCACAGGGAAGGTGAAATTGGAATCCAGAGGCCGTTTCTGTAATAATAACAAAATAACTAATATATGATCAGAATTAGGCTTTGCTCCCATTCTGAGAAAGAAGCATTTCTGAACAGGCAAGTGTTGAAAACACATCATTCTCAGCGACAGAGAGCTGTCAAACAAGGAAATACTGCTGCTAAATATGCGGTTTATATCATTCCTAGTTTCTCATCTTGGGATGTAAAAAGTCCTTCCTCAACAGCTGAAAGGCTTTGGGAGAAAGATACTCCTTGCAGCAGCTCTATCAAAGGCTTCCTCAAAACAAGGAGATTGGGTCAGTTTTGTTTAGGTCCCAATTTCCACTTGGACACACTGGGGTAAGACTCAGCTTTTGCTGTCACACAGCCACACGATTTACTGAAGCGGCCCTGGGAAGCAGGCGGTGGGTGCTGATCACAGCGTGCCAAGTGCAGAGCTGGGAAGAATAGGGAAAAGCTCCAGTCTGGCTACAGTTGTCCTTCCAGCTGCACTCCAGCTGAAGCGCTGGTTCATATCCTCTTCCCTACCAAGCATCCCTGCTCACATCCATGTACATTGGAAGCTAAGTCCAGGAGTGCCAGACATGGCTCTGCGCCAACTGCTGAAAGAAGTCCACATTCTGTGTGGACAGAGAGAGGTCAAAAGAGGTTGCTGGGACCTGCACCATTTCCTCCTATGACTGGAAGGGAGTGAGGGAGAAATAAAGCTGTGTCCTCCCTCCTCTATTCCAAGACAATTCTCTCCATGGTGGAAGGCTTTCTGTACTTCCCAGCTTATTTCTGTACACTGCGTGCACTGACGTGCAGTTTGAGGCTCAGAAAGCTTCCAACTTTTCACACATGGGCTCCACTGAACCAAAACTGGGCCTTAAATGCTGCCTAGAGGGGGAAAAACAATATTCCTCCAAGTGGATCACTACTGTAATTTGTCCTTCTTCTAGTCTTTGCTAAGATTTCTATTTAGACAGTACCACAAGGGTGTTTGGGTGTGTTTTATGGCCTAGAGCTGCCAGATCACAAAGAACCTTGAACAGACACAACCAGGTACCAAAGACACAAACACATCTTGTCTTTAGCAGAGCTTCCAGTGCATCACAGTAAACAAATCACATCTGCAAGTTTTTTGCAGTCTTTGACACTGCAACAACCATCTTTAAAAGATTACAGGAATCCCATTAGAAAGAAATGCTACAGATGTGTTTATATGCTAAAAACAAGATTAGTGCTTCACATCACAGCTGTTACACCAATAGAAAGTGTGGCAAAGTATCTTAATGCTCTGTACAGAATGTTTAAGAAATGCACCAAATACCTCAGAAGTTCTTGATGGAGCATCTGTATCAGAAGGTCCCCGAGGTGTCAAATGGCTGGTGCTGGTGGCATTTTGAGAGGAAGCTGATTTTCTGTAAGGATGGCCCAACATTTCAGGTTAGTAGCCAAAAATATCTACTGTCATACTTCTTTCCCTAGAGGGAAGATAGACCTTCATTTCCCAGGAAGTTTTCTGAAATGGCTCTCATCCTTCCCCTACAGACTGAACTTACCTAGAAAGTCTTATCTCCAAAACCTGTCTGTCTACTTCAGTGTAGCCAGGCCAATCTTTCTGAATGTCTTTAAATAAATGTTCCTTTAGACTGAAGGAATTATCCTTTGCATTCAGGTTGGCTACCTACAGGAAGATAATTAAGAAACTAAATGTTCATTACATCTAAATGCAAACTGCAGATCAAAAACTGCTACTGTAAAACTAAATCGAAGCTGAAAATAAAGTCATACACCAGTTTTCCAGGGCTTTTTTTGGATATGTAGATCAATCTAGCTCTCTCGTGAGAAGCAGCAATTTTAATGTTTGGTCCACTTGGGATGCAAAAACTCTGGTGTAAGAAAATCTCAAATTGCTGCAAGTCTGTATGAAATGTACTCTCTGAAAACCTCTCTCTGCACCAGGTATCTGTGTTTGGGTTTTTTGTCTTTAATACAGCTTTGAGAATGAAGGCAAACTGTGCCAAGACTTTCAGTCTTTGCCACTTGAAATACAATGAGAGGGCAGGTTTTTCCTTTCTATTTACTTTTTTTTTCTCTAAGAACTGAAGAACACTATCTGCACGTACAAGTCCAGATTTGTTCAACTTGAGGAGGACACCTGCTGCCTTCTTGTTTTACACAGCTACAGGGCTATGGCAGAGCACAGGCTGTGCCTGGAATGAGGCATGTTTTCATCATCCCATGAGCAACCACAGGATGTTGTCAGTTGTGTCCCCAAACAGAACAGCTTTTCTTTCTCAAGTGCCTGCCCAGAGGAAACTACAGCTTCTTACTGAACAACTGTATGGGATAACCTACCTAGAGCTAAACCAAAACAGATTTTAAAAAATTAAAAGTAATAAAGATATCCAGAAATAGTAATTGACTTCTGAAAAACAGAACTAAAGCTGCATTCAAAGAGAATACTCAGGCTCAGGCTTCTGGTTTTAGATTTATAGAAAAAAAGGTCTGCTACCTGCTTTTGAAGGTAAGAAAAACGTGAGCAAGACTTTTCAGGGTGTAGTGTTGCTGACATGACCCTTTTGGAATGCAAACCAGGACCCTGAGGAAGATCATCCCTTATAAAGGAAACCAAGTCCAAGATAATCTCCTTAATCATTGCCAAACATAATGGGACAGGAGAAAATTTTTTCACTTTTTATCCTGTAGGGAGCTGAGCTTTTGGAATTTTATACTCAACTTGAAGTATAAATGGACTGCTTCAATTTGGATGGAAGAACATGGCTCTCACTAAATTGTGTCTGTCTTCAGGGTGAAAAAACCTGCCCTTCCCCAGGGCAAACAACACAACAAACCTAACAGGTCCCAGGAGGAGATGCTGAAAATTCAGTGTAGGATCAACCCAAACTGTATAAATGTTGAAGTTTACTCCCCTGCTATGTTCCAAAACACTTTTTCCTTGATAAAGAAGAACTACTTGACATATTAATGCTTGCATAATTCAGCCACAGTCTAGGACTAAAGGGAATATTTAGAAAGGAACGAAATAGCCACTGCATTTTTATGAATCTATAGGCATCTTCCGAATGGCTGTGATAAAGAAATGCAAGCACAACTGAACTCAAAAGGAGCACTGGAAAAGTTACTCAATAAAAAAAGGTTTCAAGGCAGATAAAGACACAATCCATATGACAGCAAAGAAACCTGTGCTTAAAATCTGACCTCCACCTTTTCCAGTTAGGATTTGCCTGGAACACTCTTCCCTGGAAGTCAACCCCAACAGATCCCAGGAGAAGTCAAGTACCACTGACAGGCCACCAGCTCCATTCAAATGAAATACTGGCCTATGCAACTACCAAACTTCTCTGCTCAGAAACTTGTCACAAGAAATATTAAGTACCACAACAAACTACTTCACACAATCGAGAGAACCCCTGGGCAGTTCCTCTTCATTAAGCAGTAGAATAGTGCAAGGAAAAGAGACACAAAAGATAAGACATGAGAAGCAACAACATTAGAAAGAGATAATTAATGCCTGCCATTCTAGCGAAAAAACACCTCTGCCCCAAAAGTTTTCAGTCTTTCTTTCCTTTCCTCTCATGGACTTGCAGTTTGGCCCATATGGATAAAATTTATCGAAAACCTCAGACAAAGAGCATTACATAAGTTGCTCATCAGTTTCTAATTTAAACACTGGAGTGACACAGGTAGGAATTAGGAATAAAAGAATAGCAGGAGGGAAAAATTGCTGGCACAAACTTCAGGATCTCACCTGCTGAAGGATCTTTCCAAGGGTACCCCTGTCCTTTTGCATTATTCCATCTCTCTGCAAGTGATTAAGTAACTCTGGCTTCTTGTAATTCCTCAGAGCCAGCAAGTGAATCACCCTTTCCCTGAATGGTCTGCGATACACAGCATTGCAACGACTGCAGTGGACATTTTCAGGGTTCATGGGTGTTGTTCTTTTTCTCTCATGCACGGCATCTGGAGTTCTTTGTGGAACTCTTCTGACCTCTGCTTTTCTTCCTAAAATAAGTGGGGAAAAAAAAATGTGTCAGATGGGAGGTTGGGAGAAGGCAAGGAAGTTGGCCTAAAAGTATTTACCAGGACTGATAAACCTGTATTTGTTCAGCATTTACAGATCTGTAAGAAGCCAGGTAATGAAGATGCACCGAGTTGGGCATTAACAAACAAACAGTCATTAAAAACACTGATACATGAGTGATACTGGAGCGAAGGTTCTTTATATAGATTCTTTCTATTGATGGTGCTTTTATTATTTTTCCAGTTTGTAAGCTCAAGCACTGAGCTATGTCAAGAACAACATAGACAGTGGGATTAAGTGCACCCTTGGCAAGTCTGCCTACACCAGAGGGCTGGGATGCCATCCAGGGCGACCTAGACGAGCTTGAGAAGTGGCTCCTGGGAACCTCATCAGGTTCAACAAGGCCAACTGCAAAGCGCTGCACCTGGGTCGGGGAAACCCCTGGTATCAATCCAGTGTGGGGGATGAAGGGACTGAAAGAAGCCCTGCCAAGAAGGACTCGGAGGTGATGCTGGATGAGAGGCTGGACATGAGTTTAAGAACCTACAGACATGCAGTAAAAAATGAAATCCAGCCATACCTAAAAGTCGTCCATGAGGCCTAACGACCTTTGTATTTTGACTGCATGTCTCCTTTTCTGCCTGGGTCAGGCGCTCTCTGGTCATCTCATCGTTATTGCTTGTTCCACCTACTGTAACTTTATCCTGGACAGAATCTGGGTCATTGAGTTGCAAGGCTCCACAGCTATAAAAAGAGTGAAAAAGGCCGAGCCCTTCAGAAACTACTTCAGGTCTAGAAGTACAGTTGTATCAGGAACTTAAAAACCTGTCCTAAGAGGTGAAGAAAAATCTCTTTCAGTTCTGACAGTGAACTGGGCTGTAACTAGATTTCCAAATGTTTCTACACATCTACAGTGCCAGTTTTACATGTCTGCAAATTGAGGCTTTTCTATTATCTCTAGATCTTGGGTCTGCAATTCTATGGTGAAATTGGATATTTTGCCGTAGCTTCAAGTTAGTTTGAAATATCTTCCGTGGTTAACTCCTGTTAGCTCATAAAGGCTCTTTGGAAGGGTGGACTTTACAGCTTGCAGTCTCCCCTCCCCACCTCTCCAGCTTAGATACACTAAGCGGTCCAAACACAGGAAAGAGTTTCAAATTTACGCATTCAGTATTTTAGCATTCAGCTTTCCTCCTGCATTGCCTCACGTCTAAATACAAAACACTGCAGGTTCATATACCCTTTTCGTCTGCTTGAAGAAGACTGAAATTAAATGTTTAAAGTCTTCTTCCGAAGTACATGAGAAATTCTTTTTAACACTTCTTTCTCCTGCAATAACTGTGGGACAACCTCACAGTTTAAAACTTGAAGGTATTTCAATGAGGCAGCTGGGTGAGTGAAAGAAACTAGTCCTTATTCCAGCACTGCATGTTGGTCACATCTGACTTTTTTTAGCTATACAAGAGTTTCCATAGGTGAGTTTTTACCTCCTTTGATAAGTGGCAAGAGAGTTGTTATTTTACTCACATGGAGTCGTCTGGTTGCTCCCTTGATGACGCAGTGTCTGTGGAGGCAGTGCAAGTTTCTTTAACTCCTACAGAAAAGCAGAATTTTGACACTTGCGATGAAGATTTTTAATACAATCAAACAGTACCAACTAGATGGGCTTGAAAAAGTCCTTCAGAACTTTGTTCTCACTGTAAATTACTTGGAAGAAGCTGCATAAGTTAGTAACAGTGCTCACATGACCCTCTCCACAATTGGCAGTACCAGGTTTAGAAAGAGGCATGGCCACTTTATTCTACACGTTCCACACTAGCGCGGTGTTAACCCCAGCTCAGTTTTTCTTATTTGAAGGCATGAGGTGGCATCTGCACAGTCATTCATGTTGTGCAGCAACAGATGTAGCTGCACAAAAGACAACAGAGAGAGACAGAGAGAGATCAACATCGAGGTTCTAGCAAGGAGAAAGCTGAAGTCCTTCTCATGCCGTGTTTTTATTCTTTCTTTCCCTGACAATTACAGATACCCAAAGTTTGGCTGAATTTCAGCACTCTTTTAAGCAGGAAAGTCAGTCACACTGGATGGGGGTTACTGGCACTAAGGCTCCAATAACCTGCAGCAAACACTGAGTGCTCCTTTACGTGGCAAGGCTGGGTTGGAAAATGGTCTGCACTTGTAAATTGGTCTTTTGCTCTTTTAAATGGCAGGAGGAAGCACTGCACACTTAACCTCCAACTCCTATTTTCAACGGACTATTTCAGACTAAGATAAATAAGAAAAAGAGCTGCTGTAAGGAAAGGTGAGTTGGAACAAGAAGGAACACTCTGGGATCTTCATAATCTCTCTCTGCCTCTCATTTGGGGTTTTGTGGCAAGCTTAAAAACACATTTACATTTGTTATCATCTTACATTGCCACTATACACACAGTTGTCCTGCTAAAGCTCAGCCGTTCTTGCCAGTCTTTAACCTGTCTGAGTTTTAAGTCTTGAGGAGAGAAAAGAGCTATCATGTGATGCTCCACTTGATTCTTTTAAATTTAGTATTCAATTTATGACATGGTATAGAAGGATTATAAAAGGAAATGTAAAAAAACTGGACAGAAATACAAACAGGAATATTAATAGTCCCGGTATGTACAATACAACTTGTGTGAACAGCTTTGCTGCGAGTGATTCATTTCCAAAAACTCAAGTGCACTTGCTGACATAGCTCAGTCCACACAGAAGCTTCAGGGCAAGCACCAACTTGAAACACAGTACAGATTTTTCCTTCTCCAGCTGTTCAGAATTTTGTTACTGGCTCCTGAAGAAGGATGCTCACATGTTTTTAGACTCAAGCACAAATGCTTCCAAAGCAATCCCAAGGTTTGTGGGCACCGTGCGTATGCCCAGGGTAAATGTGGAAAGACCATCCCAAAGCACCCGTCTCTACAAGAACACCACCACTTCCAAGAGGCAGCTGCACACTCTAAAGGCTAAACTCCACTTCTAATTTGCGAGTCCAATCTCTAAAACAAGACAACACAGATTTAACAAAGGAACTGAACTCTGTCCTGCTGGGTGTGTCCCCATGTTAAGAAATCAAGTGTTCATTGTGCATTTCTGTTCAGCTTTTCAATGTCATTTTGAGTCTGAACCATTTCTAAGGTTTTGGAAGAAATAAATTCTGCAGCTAAGATGGAGAGAAGCTCTTGGTACAGTTCAGATCTGAACTCCAGTAAACCACAGGCCAGGTTATGTAGCTTTTGGACTTTCTGTAAAACGGCAGATTTTGATAACCATGAAGAAATTACTGATGTCTGATCCATGTGTTTCAGTAAATTGGTCTGCAAGGAGTGTGTGACAAGTTTGTATCCAGCATGTAGACTTTAAAACTTGATGAGGGAAAATGTGGAGTTTCAATCAACTGTCAGTTTACTGGAAATCAAGTGGGAAAAAAAATCCATTCCTTATTCCCAGCTCTTCCTTTTAGCCAGTTTCTGCCTAACAGCAATCCATTTAATATTACTTCATTCCTGCACTACAGAGGGAGAATTCTTACAAATGAACATCATTTTAGATAAGGTTCCAGGAGAACAGTTTCTGAGTTTTGGTAATGTTGTCATTTAAGATAACAGTTACAGTGTAGTACAATTGCATAAAAAAGTCTGAATTTTTCATTACCATGAAGCAGGGATAATAGTAGAGCACTAATACGTAGCAGAGCCTTCATATATCCAGTCCCTGGTTTCAGTGCTCCCTTTTCACCAGGGTTTACCCTCACAGGAGTTAAGAAAATCAGGGCATTAATACCTTCAGTGAAATCAAAAGGCTGAGATGTTTTCAGCCTCTTTCTGTCTTCTTTCTTCTCTCTAGGTTTGGGAGACTCCCCCTGCATCGGGGCAGGTGCTGGGATTCCAAAAGGAGTCTGAGGCATATCCTTTTGTTGCACCTCAGAAGTGCAGAGGAAAATGGAGCTGACAGTTTCAGATGTGTTAGAAGTTGGAAGGACT